TGAACACCGAGACGATTGGCTCGGAGTGCTATCTCGCCTAGAATGATGAGCGACTCATTTGGGACCTGCAACATAAGGGAGATGTCCACAAGCGCATGTGGCAGATCCCGGTTCTTTCTTGGCGGAAATCGGGCAAGGCGGCAGCCGCGGCATCTATGGAGGAGAGTAGTAATGCGTGCAAGGAGAGGACCTGAATGGGGGAAGCGCGGTGGTGAAGGCATCGGCAACCTCAAGCCAAGCGACGTGGGAGACTTGGCATCGGCAGCTCGCTCACGTGGCTGTTTCTACATTGGAGGTGATGCAGAAGGAGAAGTGCGTGTACGGGCTGTGAGGCGTGCATGCAAAACAAGTTTGTGCGGTTCCCGTTTCCACGTGCAGAGGGATCAGCCAAGGCACCTTTAGAGGTGGTGCACATTGACCTGGAGAGCGAACCTCGGGAAAACGAGGTTGGGTGCAGGTTTGGCGAACGGGGAAGCTGAAGGTGACGTGGCAGCCTTGGCATCGGAAATGTAGGCCGAGCGTGCGAAGTCCGAATTGTTGGGGTTGTACGCGTAGCAGTCAACCCCAATAAGGAATAAGGAAAATTTCTTGCACAGCTACACACCCATTGTAACTCTAGATATTGCAATTTCATACTCGTGAGTTGTAAAAGAAAAGTGCATAGAAATGAAATCCGAAACTGTGATTAAACTAGCAAGAGGCTTGGACTAGGTGACACATTGAAAGTGTACGAAGCTGGTGGAGATGGAAAGGAGATCGTTTGAGGTGGAGAGGAGAGCAGAGCGTGGCGGAGATAAGTGGCAGTGGTAGTGGCAGTCAGGGCCCACGTTATCAGGGCAAAACATCCTGATTACCCTGAATTCAGGATGCCGTTCTGTATTTTCCCTGCAATTTCAGAATAGTCATAATTTTAACCCTGAGGTCACAGGATGTTTTTATCTGAAGTGACCTGAACATTCAGGATGGCCGTAGTGTTCTTCCCTGTAGCGTCAGGATGAATGTCGAGGCCTGCCCTGACGCGGATTTCAGGGGGGGGGGGGGGGGGGGGGGGGGGAAATTTTTCCCTGAGGATTTTTGTCTCCGTTGAAATTTTCCCCCGTGTATGTTTCCCGCCTTCGCACGATCTCTTCCCCTTGACAGTTCTGTTCCGATCCTCGCAACACCAGCCAAGCCAAACCCATCACCCACCGCCAAGGCAACTCGTCCTATGCCTGGCTAGCACTAGCTGGGTTTCTCACGCTAACGTTCAGCAGCACTCCATCCAACACCCTTCCTGTGTAGCTGTTAGAGTAGCAGCAGCAGTAGTAGTGAAGCTCGGCTGGATGATGGCAAACGAGGACGATGGCGCCGCCAGTATCACGGGGTCTAACCGGATTAGATTTCTTGCGTCCGGTTAGAGTTGTGTCCGCCTTTCCAACAGGTTCACCTGCAGCTGGATCATCTCGAACTCCCGCAGTCACACCCGCCTATGCTAGTACGAACGGCACCAACGTTTTACCACCTGGTGCGACACGCATCGGCCCTGCCGCTACTGCTAAGTTAAGAGCGACCAAGCACAAACAGTCGCGCTTGTCGTTCTCTCGCAATAGTCCCACAGAACCCACCGCTCGAGTCCGCTTAGCGCCAGCTTTACCAGGACCATCGGCCGTTCCTGCAGCAACTTCGTCCACCGAGGAACTGCGAGATGAGGCAGAGGATAAATACAAGCAGGCTCTTACGAAGTACAAACATGAGTGGTCAAGTGATTTCCCGTGGCTCGTGCTTTGTCAAACCTCTTTCGGTTTCCCTTAAGGCGGCTGCACTATGTGTATCAAGCACGCAGGACACGGCACAAACTACGGCGCTGCTGGCGAAGGAGCCGTCGATGTCCAAACCCAGGCGTTCCGCACGCATCAAAGCTCCAGGAAGCACAAACGGTCCATCAAGAGACAGGCCCAGGCGGACAAGGCGGCTGAGAAGCAGCAGCGCATCATCGACTGCCCAAAGGCTGGAGACACCCAGCGTGTAAGGGTCATCGCTTTGCTGGAGACCCTGCTGTTCATCTGCAAATGTGACGCACCGATTGAAATGTGGGTTCAATTGGTTCGGCACCTTGCAGAGCGATAGACACCAGGCTTCCCCAAGAATGGCTACGGTGCTTATTACACCAGGTGAGCCATATTCAACAATAGCTTCTATACCTGAGAAATTTTGTATGGAGGTTGCTCACTGTTGCTAACCCTCAGTACCTCTTTCGGTGGATGTAGATATGGGTTTGTAGAGCTCATCGCAAGCACTGCAGCCTATCTCCGTGCTCCTCCGCAAGTCTGGTTGCAGTCTAGTCCATTCATCGGACTAACCTGTGATGAGAGTACAGATCGTGTGCATGGCAAACACCAGATCGTGTTTGCCACGTTTCTCCGTGACTCTCGTGTAGTCACGGAGTTCGTCGGTCTACTGACGGTGGAGAAATGCGATGGCGCTTCGTTGCTTTCCCTGCTGTTGACCCTTCTTGACTCTCTTGGTATCGACATGAGCAGGGTGGCCGGGATTAGCACGGATGGCGCAGGTGCGATGATGGGTAGCACAAATGGCCTGGTGGCTCGGTTGCGTGTAATGGTCCCGCACCTCTTCTCTAGCCATTGCGTTGCACATCGGTGAGTAATACTTCTTGCTTGTGTGTGTTGCTTCTAGATGCCCATCTGCTCCCATAGTCTCTTCGTGGACGGACAGCAACGGCTTGCAAAACCAGTCGATGCAACTCCTCCCTTAAACCTTACCTCCCCTTCTCTCGTGCCCACATCATGTCGTGCAGAGAGGCGCTGGCCGCCAAGGACGCTGCCACTGCAGTCTCTGATCTCGGCCTCATCGACTATGTGCTGAAGGAGCTTGCGGAATACCTGGGAAGGTCGCAGCCCTCCCACGGTGAGTTCCAAGAGCTGCAGGAGGTGTTCTGCAAGACGAACCTGGAACTGCAGGGTATTCACTCCGTTCATTGGCTGAGCCGCGGCGATGCCATCACGCGCTTGGTGCGTGTGCTCCCTGGCGTCATCGTGCTCCTGTGGGAGTGGGAAGACGACTTCTACCACATTGTGACTTCAGTGAAGTTCAATGTGTATCTTTACTACCTCGCCAACATGCTCAACCTCCTCAACAGCCTCAACCTGGAGTTTCAAAGGTGGGAGGTGAGTAGCCTTTGTAAGCCCGAGTCTCTTATCATTGTTGTTTGTATGGTCCTTGTTGAAACTGTACCTTGTCATGTTGCAAGTCGACATGACATCGGTGCAGTCGACCCTGCGCCGCACCCTGATCACCATCCGTACGCGCTACATCGAGTGCGGCGGCGATGACTTTGGTGGCGGCCCGCAGCTACATCTTGGGGCCTTCCTAGCCAGGCTCAAAAAGTCCCCCAAAATCACAGTGGCAGGTGTGGACAAGGAGGGGGAGAAGCGACAACATAGCTTCGACCTGCACGAGGAGGCATTGACGGGCTACAGCAAGACCCCGGATGACTTGCAGTCGTGCCTCGACGTCTGCCGCCGCCACGCCAATTCGACGCTCACCCACCTCCAGAAGAGGCTGGGGGATCTCGACAGCCTGAACGGTGTCCGACTTTTTATGCCAGACACGTACCCTGAAGACAAGGAGGGACGCGCTGAGGAGTGCCGCGAGCACTTCGAGACTCTCGTCGACTTGTTCCATGCCCGCGAGCACGCAGACATTCTCCCAGGTAACCACTAGTGTTCTGTTCCTACCCGTTGTGTCCTATGTCCACAATCTGCCAAGTTCTGTCACTGCTATGTATATATCCAACAATCTGACTTGGTCTGCCCCTCCCTCCTTTCACTGTTATGTGTGTTATGCGTGGCAGGTGTGGACAAGCGTGCTGCCAAGAAGGAACTGAGGACTTTTGTCCCTGTTCTGGCTGGCGCTCCCAAAGGTGAGCGCACATTTCAACGCGGACTGGCGGCCATGCTGCGAACGAGGGACTGGGAGCGGAGCTACCCCAACCTCGTCTGCCTCTGGACAGCGGTGGCTGTCCTGCCGCTCAGCACCGTTGAGTGTGAGCGCGGCTTTTGCCGCCAGAACGTGATTGAGTCATGGCAGAGGACCAGCCGCTGTGATGCCAGGCTCAGTGACTTGATGTGCCTGAGCCTAACTGAGTATGACATGGAATGGGGTAAAGTTGTGGATTTGTGGCGCAGCAGCAAGAAGAGGAGGCCTATTAAAAGAAGGGAGAACCAGAGGAAGGGGGGGAAGGGGGACGCCTTGGAGGACGGACAAGAAGCAGATACTGAACATGGCAGCGGCAGCAGCAGCGACAGTGGGTTTAGTAGCAGCAGCGAAGATGATGATGAGGAGGGCTAAGAGGTGGTGAAGGTGTTAATTGCCTAGTAAAACACCTACTGTATGTGCGCTGCAGCGCTGCGGCTGCTCTGCTATGCTAAACAGAGTCTGGTCTGGTCTGTGTGTGCTAAATTCAGAACCCTGAACGCTATTATTTTTGCCCAGATAGGTCAGGATTAGTTTCTGCTGCAGCCCTGACCAATCAGGAAGGCTCTGAAGATTTGCCTTGAGAAATCAGGGCATTTTTTAAGATTCTAGAAAAGTGCCCTGAGGGCTCAGGGTGCCCCAAATCCTAGCACGGGCCCTGGTGGCAGTGGATCCGAATGAGGCGGCAGTCAAGAGGCGAGGAGAGGAGGTCTCCGCACTCCACTTCAAGGGGGACACAAGGCTCAAGTGTAGAAACGATGATACAGACGGCACACGAGTACGCAAACACCCTAGGCTCAACTGTACAAACACTTGTGTGAAACACAACACATCCAACCCTATGGTGTGGGGGAGAGTGGGGGGGTTAAGGAAGACAGGGTTGAAGCACCCTAGAACTGGATGGGGCCGCAGCCGAGGGGCGTAGTTTCTAGCGGGCAGTAGGGGCACTTGAAGGGACGAGTGGTGCCCTTGGCAAGCTTGAGCACTGCTGTCAGCAGCAGCAGCAGCAGCAAAGCGGTACATGCACTCTAGAACTGAATGGGGCGGCAGTCAAGCGGCGTGGTCTCAAGAGGGCAGTAGGGGCACTTGAAGGGACGAGTGGCGCCCTTGGCGAGCTTCAGCACGGATGCACGGCACACGACGTGGCTACAGGGCAGTAGCACGGGCGGGTTGTCGGGGTAGGAGGCAGGCTCACGGGAGACGGGGCAGGCGAAGATGGAGTGGAAGTGGAAGGCGCGGGGCAGCTCGATCTCCACAAGCAGCTGCTCCATGCCCTGCCAGTCCCGTGCCCTCCTACTGCTGCCGCCTGTACTACCAGCACCAGCAGCTGCAGTAGTGCCATGCGCAGTGATATTGCTGGCAGCAGCCACAGGCGTGGTGGCAGCAGTGGTGGAGCTTCCGCCTGCCCGGCTGCTCCCTCCCCCGCTGCCAATGCCGCTGCTGTGGTTCAGCAGGGCGGCGAGCTTTGTCAGCATTGGGAGGGCCTCGCCACCCGCAGCCACCACGACAGCCAATGGGCTTTCGGCGGATTCGAGGCACTCCACGGCACAGTAGTCTGCGGTGAACCGGGCGGCGATCTGATCCTAGTGGGCGGCAGTGAGTGGCAGGAGGTCGGCATATGGGGACAAATTCAGCCGCCCAATCCACAGGAGAGCGCACATGAGGCGTTGGATATCGGGGAGATGGGTGGCGGCGAAGGGCGGGAAATGCTGACGCGCGTACAGGAGGGCTGGCGAGCTGGCAGGTCGTGATTGGCTGCTGTTGTCATCACTGGCAGGATCAGACATAGAAAACGAGCTTGCCTTCTGCTGCTGCTGTTGCTTCCATATAAGCTGTTTCTGCTGCTCTTGTAGAAGATTCAAAAACTGCAGTCGATGAATTTCAAACTCCAGGGAGCTTGTCTTCAGCCCTCCAACCACCGCCTTCCCTCCCCCTTCCCCCCCTCCCACCTTCACGTCTGGAAACCCCCCGGCAACTTCCCGCTGTAGCTCCTCCCGATGCTGCGCCGCCCAAGCCAGCGCTGGACCTAGATCCTTGGCTCGGATGGCGTGAAGAATGGCGTGCATGGCGCCGTACCTGCGCCGGTGCTCCTACAGGCTCACTCCCTCGCCCACCCCCCCCAGTCCGCCCCTCCCCTCCCCCCCAGCCACTGCTGCTGCGCCCCCCTGCGCGCCCACCACTCCCGTATCCTTTCCCCTAGCCTCTCCCCCCGCCCTGGCCCCCGCGATCCCTCCCCCAGCGCCAGTGCCAGAGGCCATTCTTCTCCGCGCTGACCATGACAGGCGCACCATTCCGCCCCGCCCAGCCACGCCTTCCCCCCACAGCCCCCCGCCCCTCTCCCCCGCAACCCCCCCCATACTGCCGCTCCCCGTCCCGCCGCTGCTCCCCCTTTCTATGTCCGCCTCCGCCCCTGCGCCCTCCCCCACCTCCATCTGCTCGTCCCCCTTCCCCTTTTCCTCCATCGCCTCCCCCTCCTCCCCATCCTCCTCCCCGTCCTGCACCTCCCCTTCCTCCGCTTCCTCCCCCCCCTCCCCTTCCGCCCCCCCCCCTCGCGCCCCCCAGCCCCGCCTCCGCCACGAGCGCGTCCCCCACGGCGAACAGCCATTGGCGGAACAGATGCTTCGCGATCTCGCGGTTCACTATAACGGGGTCGAACTGTACGGCCTCTCTATAAGCACCTCCGATATCAGCAACGAACGTGCCCTTCTCTTTCTCCCGCTCCACCGCCTTGCTCAGCCGCGCCACGGCCCCGTGCAGTTCCTTATGCAGCGCTGCTATCTCCTTTTCCGGACCTAGGCTGCCGAGCCTGGACAGAAGGCTCGAAACAGCGGCTCGGCAGCCAGGGTTGCTGTCGAGAGTTGCACTGGGGAGGCTAGGCTTGGAGACGTCCGCTGCCACGTCAGCACCCGCATCACTCACAATTTCCCCCATTTCCCTGCACTCCGCCAATCCCCCCGCGCGTTCCGCCGCTTCCGCTTGTAGCTCCGCCTGAAGCGCCGCCTGCGTCTGCTCAAGCGCCTGCTGCACCTTGTCGAGCAGCGCGGGCTCTTTAGCGCGTACGGCGCCGTGCCTCTTAACAAGGCGCGAGAGGGCATCCTCGATAGTGCTGACGTCCATCATGACGTCAGACGACAGACAACAGACGACAGGCAAAGCTGCCTGGAAACAGGCGACAGGCAAACGCGAGATGTTGAGAGAGCGAGTCGATATACTGTCGACACATGACGATGGACGCTTCGTGCACAGAGCGGCAGCCAATAGGCGATCGATGGCGGCGACTTACGACATCGTCAATCTTGGTTGTCTCGCTTTCGTACAGAAAGCCAATCGTCAGCTACTGCGTGGGTTCAACTACACGCAAGCGAGCCAAAAACCACTGGAACGTGCGACTTGTATGCGACATCTCCAGGCAGTATAGCATGCGTGTAGCGAGGCAATTTTTCGGAAACTGGTGTTTGACGAGGCTGTGTTAGAGGCTCGTGCAGTGAGCGGAAGGCTCGGGGCAGGTCTGGAAATACCCGCGATAATTTCGCCCAACCACGAAGCCCCACGTCCCCTTAAAATGGTTGGCCCACAATTCACCAACCACGTCGGATTGCGTTTTTTTTTTTTTTTTTTTTTTTTGGATTGCGATGCAACCTATTACAATTGGTATGAGCAGTTTTTTTTTCATATTTTTTGAAAAAAAAAACGTGAAAAAAAAAAACCTGCAGCTACAGTATTACCCTTCCCATACCCTATGCGTGTTGAGAAGTTTTGAATACTTTGCGCAGTCTAGAATGTGATGCGATTTATTATTGTAGTAATTTACAACTAAAGCTGTATTTTTTAGTGTATTTTTTATGTTACCGGTGCAGTGGTTGTCAAACATTGCATGTTTATATTATGTAGGCTGTAGTGGGTTACACCTTAGGGGGTACTCAAAGTTAGGGTTTCCTACTTGTACCAAACTCTGTGCTAGTTCATCCCATTCCTGCTCAGTTATTCTGACATGGTATCAGAGCAGGTCCATCGCTAGGACCGCTCTTAGGGCCCACCGCTACCTACCTACCTACCTACCGTGCGCCTCTTGCGCCTACGCGCTCTCGTGCGCCCTACCCTACGTGCGCCCTCGTGCGCCCTACCCTACGTGCGCCCTCGTGCGCCTTTCTCTCCTTGTGCGCCTTCGTGCGCCCTCGTGCGCCCTCGTGCGCCCTCGAGCTGCCCCTGCAGGTCCGTCAGGCCACCGAGCCGTCGCTGCAGGCTTGTCAAGCACCTGAGCCGCCGCTACAGGCACGTCAGGCACCCGAGTCGCCGCTGCAGGCCCGTCAGGCCCCCGAGCCGCCGCTACAGGCCCGTCAGGCCCGAGAGCCGCCCCTGCAGACCCGTCAGGCCACGCGCGCCGCCCCTGCAGGCCCTAGCCGGCCGCCGCGTCGCTCTGCCCGCAGCGTCGCCGCCTCTCCGCGGCGTCGTCGCCTGCCCGCGTCGAAGCCGCCTGCCCGCGACGTCGATCCCTGCCCGCGGCGCCGTCGCCTGCCCGCGGAGACGTCGCCTGCCCGCGGCGTCGTCGCGGCGTCGCCACCTGCCCGCGGAGTCGTCGCCTGCCCGCGCCACATGCACGCGGCGTCGCCACCTCCTCGCCGCGTCGACCTGCCCGCGGCGTCGCCACCTGCCCGCCGCGTCGACCTGCCCGCGCCGTCGCCACCAAACCCTAATCCGTCGCCCTGCCCGCGGCGTCGCCACCTGCCCGCCGCGTCGCCCTGCCCGCGCCGTCGCCACCTAACCCTAATCCGCCTCTCGCCCCTGGAGCAGCCGCCACTGCAGTAGCAGCCCCTGGAGCCGCCGCCACTGCAGCAGCAGCCCCTGCAGCCGCCCGCCACTGCGTCAGCAACCACTGGAGCCGCCCACCACTGCAGCAGCCGCCCCTGGAGCCGCCCGCACCTGCAGCAGCCGCCCCTGGAGCAACTGCCGCCGTAGCCCGGTCTAGCTCTGCAGCAGCTGCCGCGGAGCTTCCTACTGCGCCTGCCACGCCGACCACTGGTGAGCATTGCCCTGCCAGCACTGCTACCGCTGCTACTGCTACTACTGCCGTTTCTACTCCCACTCCCGCTACTCCTGCTGCTCCTGACGTGGCCAGATGCAGCCACAGGACCGTGCGCGTGAGTCCCTCACGCTCCAGCAGGCTCGTGAGTGGTACGCCAGTTGGGGCTATCGAGGTGGCCGTAGTGGTAGTCGCTCTGACGTGCGTCGTTCGGGAGCCCCTGGTAGTGGACAGGTGCAGCAGCCGTGCCCTCCTACGGTCCAGCAGGCTCGTGAGTGGTACGCCGGTTTGAGCAGTCGGGGTGGCCGTAGTGGTAGTCGCTCTGGCGTCCGTCGTTCGGGAGGCTCAGGTAGTGGACAGGTGCAGCAGCCGTGCCCTCTTCTGGTCCAGCAGGCTCGTGAGTGGTACGCCGGTTTGAGCAGTCGGGGTGGCCGTAGTGGTAGTCGCTCTGGCGTCCGTCGTTCGGGAGGCTCAGGTAGTGGACAGGTGCAGCAGCCGTGCCCTCTTCTGGTCCAGCAGGCTCGTGAGTGGTACGCCGGTTTGAGCAGTCGGGGTGGCCGTAGTGGTAGTCGCTCTGGCGTCCGTCGTTCGGGAGGCTCCGGTAGTGGACAGGTGCAGCAGCCGTGCCCTCTTCTGCTCCAGCAGGCTCGTGAGTGGTACGCCGGTTTGAGCAGTCGGGGTGGCCGTAGTGGTAGTCGCTCTGTGAGTGAGGCAGCCGCTCTCGGTGCCAGTACGTCTGTTGCCCTCGGAGCAGGTGAGGCTACCACTCCCGGTACTCGCGTGTCTGCTACTCCAGATACTGGTGAGCCTACTGCTCTAGGTGCTAGTGCGTCTGCCGCTCCAGGTGCTCGCGTGTCTGCTACCCCAGGTGATGGTGAGGCTGCTGCCCTAGGTGCTAGTGCGTCTGTGCCCCCTGGTACTGAGTCGACTGCAGCACTGCACACCTTCACACTGGACTCAGGTGCTTCTCGCTCTTTCTTTCGTGACCGCACTGTCCTTGAGCCACTCGCTCGGCCAGTTGCTGTCTCTCTTGCTGACCCCTCAGGGGGTCCGGTCATTGCGACCTCCTCCACTACACTTCCGTGTCCAGCGGTTCCGTCCGGCACGCTCTCAGGTCTCTACCTCCCCTCGTTCTCTACGAACTTGGTGGCGGGCTGTGCTCTGCAGGACGGGGGTGTTCACCAGTTCACCCCTGCCTACGAGCGTGTGACACATTGCACGTGTGCTCGGACGGGCCGCCACCTGGCTACTTTCACTCGGGAGCCGGGGTCGGACCTGTACACACTGACCACTGAGTCCCCTCAGGTGGCTGCGTCTGCGTCTGCGTCAGGTCAGCTGTCCGCCCCCTGCTCATGTCGCTCTCTGGCGCATGAGACTGTCCTCTGGCACCACCGCCTTGGTCACCCGTCTGTGCAGCGCCTTCGGGCCATGCACAAACGGGACCTTGTTGCTGGTCTTCCCAGGGTGCTCCCTCCCCTTCCCGACTCCCCTGCTCCTGACTGCATTCCCTGTGTCGAGGGGCGGTAGCGCGCCGCTCCTCACTCCTCCTCCTTTCCCCCGACGACTGCTCCCTTGCAGACGCTCCACATGGACGTGTGGGGCCCAGCCCGCGTCCGTGGTCAGGGTCAGGAGAGGTACTTCCTGATAGTTGTTGACGACTACTCGCGCTACACCACGGTCTTCCCCTTGCGCGCCAAGGGTGACGTCCCTGGTGTTTTGATCCCCTGGATCAGCCGAGCCCGTCTCCAGCTAGCCAAGCGCTTTCACTCGGACTTTCCTGTCCTGCGCTTGCACTCTGACAGGGGTGGTGAGTTCGCCTCCGACCTCTTGGCAGCCTACTGTGCTGAGCACGGCATTGAGCAGTCGTTCACGCTTCCGGCCTCTCCACAGCAGAATGGGGTCGCTGAGCGCCGCATTGGCTTGGTCATGGAGGTCGCTCGTACCTCCCTGACCCATGCGGCTGCTCCCCACTTTCTGTGGCCGTTTGCGGTCCGGTACGCAGCGCATCAGCTCAACCTCTGGCCCCGTGTCTCCTTGCCGGAGACTTCCCCGACTCTACGGTGGACGGGAGAGGTTGGCGATGCGTCGCGTTTCCGGGTCTGGGGATCTCGAGCTTTTGTCCGCGACACGTCCGCGGACAAGCTCTCGCGTCGCGCTGTTCCCTGTGTCTTTCTTGGCTTTGTTCCCGACGCGCCTGGTTGGCAGTTTTACCACGTCACCTCGCGCCGGGTTCTGGCCTCTCAGGACGTCACTTTTGACGAGTCCGTCCCCTTCTACCGCCTCTTCCCCTACCGCACTGCCCCGCTCCCCCCCCCGCCTCTCTTCCTCGCTCCAGGTGCTGAGGTACCAGACCCCCTCCCCCCTCAGGGTGCCGCTCCCTCAGGTGTGTCCCAGGTAGACCCGGGTGAGCCTGTCGAGGTAGCTGTTGACTCGCGTCCTGCGTCTGGGGGTGCTGAGCCTGGGAGTACTGCGTCTGAGGGTGCGGAGCCTGGGGGTGCTGAGTCTGGAGGTGCGGAGCCTGGGGGTGCTGAGCCTGGAGGTGCGGAGCCTGGAGGTGCGGAGCCTGGGGGTGCTGAGTCTGGGGGTGCTGAGTCTGGGGGTGCTGAGCCTGAGCGTGCTCCACCTGGAGGAGCCCTCTCCTCCCAGCAGCTGCAGGAGAGGTACCTCGAGTACTGCCGCCTCCCGAGAGGTGCTTCTGGAGCTCGTCCCGGTACTTCCCCTCCTACCCAGGAGCTCCCCCCCATTCAGGTGATCCGCGAGTGGTACACGCGGCGCTGCAGTCTTCGTAGTGGTGCTCCTGGTGCTGCGGACCCGAGCAGTGGTGCTGTTGCTGGTGCTGAGGACCCGGACGCTGGAGCTGCTGCTGGTGCTGAGGACCTGGGGGCTGGAGCTGCTGCTGGTGCTGAGGACCCGACCGGTGGCGCTGCTGCTGGTGCTGAGGACTCGGGCGTTGGAGCTCCTACTGGTGCTGAGGACCCGGGCGTTGGAGCTGCTGCTGGTGCTGAGGACTCGGGCGTTGGGGCTGCCACTGGTGTCCCTGCTGCTTCTGGAGACGTTGCGCGGCCGCGACCGTACTTCGTACCGCTCCTTCAGCAGG